TTGGCTATCCTCTTAGCCTCAAAACACCCAAGAAGCTGGTCGACACTTAGCAACTCGGCCTCATCCTCATCCCGAGCTCGCAACCAAAAAAGAATGGCTAAAGCAAAAATGACACCCCACCAATTGGGGGCCACTTGAGCAGGAGCCAGTCCAGTTCGGTTTAAGAACTCCTGGGCGAAAGGATGAAGGGGAAGCCTGAGGCCGTACTCAAACATCTTGAGATAAAGAGTGACCCATCCCTCTAGGGGATTGTCAGCTCTTTCCCCTTCCTCCGGAATCCTAAGGAGGATGTCATTCGGAATGTTAAACCCCCTACGAAGGGGTCCAAGGTAGTGCTCGGGCATCCTAGAAGGGTACTCCAGACCCTGGCCCGAGGTGGAGGTATCGCTACATCATCTGAGAACCTAAAGTTCTCTATGTCTTCCAGCTCAGACTCTAACCTACGAGCTAAGACCTCCCCAAAGTCACTTGGCTTGGGGGGCGGACTACTTATTGTCCGACCTACACTACCCAGGCTATCGCTACTGGAGGTGGAAGATAAGAAAACTACCATGTTTTGAAAGAAGAGTAAGAGCAAAGAAGAGTGACTAACCTAGAAGAGAGGGTTCGAGCTGGTTTCAGATCGAACTCCAGAAATTCAGGAAACGTAAGGTTTGACCTGAAGTTTCGAGACTATTTATAGCTGATCGGAAAAACCTCTGCGTCGTACACGTGTAATCAAGGAGCGGCTGAGATCTCCTCGGGATACGCAACGGCGAAACACTTGAGTACTCCGACAACCTGGCAGGTCGAAATGTATTCCGCAACGGTCATATTCCCTCTACAAAGAGAAAGTCGCCACGTGTCCAAAATAGATTCGAATAAACTTCTCTGTCAGGTCGAGATCGAACCTCACAGAGAGGGAGCCAATGTTTGGGGGTAAACTTACCCAGGACACGTGGAGTACCATTATTCGTGTTTTAAGAAATTAGATAAAAAGGATTGCCTAGGTCCACCACGGCCCCGCCGAGGTGAACCGAGTTTGCCCCTTAAAAGATGAAGTATGGGCACCAAAGTTCGACCTGACTGTGGTCCGACCTACTTGGGACCCGACAGGTCCGATATGAGAAAAGACATGTAACCACCGGTCGTGCGTGCTGTCGGATCCGTCACCTATAAATAGACGGCTTCATTCCACGCTCCGGTATCGAATCTCATCTCGAACAAAATAAGGAGTCCGATCTATACTAACTTAGCGTCGGAGTGTTCACGCTCTTGTGCAGGTCCACTCTAGTGTTCAGGTCGGAACCGGAGACCGGGTTCGAGCTCGATTCGTGAAGAACCGTTGTGCAGATTCCTGCATAAACAGAAGGCGAGAATTTTACCACTTTACCCCGTACTCTCACTACATCCCCTCGATGTGGGTTGATGGCAACGTAAAATTCTTTCACCAAGTCCTCTGATACACGTATAATGGGAGTAAACAATGTCTCCCAACTATTCTCCACAAGCCTCCTCCTAACATATTCCGGCACCGGCTCTTGGGCCTCATCAAATCCTCTCTCAAGGAGGATATCACGTGTTGTGAAGGTGGGCCTTCTCACCTCCAATCTCACCCTTTTTACTCTTGATCATGTCTGCTCGGTAGAATCGGTCTCCTCTTCATTGGCCTCCTCAAGTGGCTATTTTGCCCCTCTTTGCACCCTAGCCCTTTTGGCTTTTTTAGATGGACCAGGCTCGGCTTTTTTTTGAGCAGCCAAACATGCTACAGCGGCGYGGGTCCTAGGCCTAGAATTTGCGACAAAGAAGGGGTCTTACCTTGTGAAGAAGAGGAAGATGATTCCACCATGGCCTCACTAGGGACATCCACAGGACCAGATGTTCCTTCTTGCTCTTTTGTAGGGGGCTCCTCATCAAGTTGCTGAGTTTCTTGCACCGGAGTTCGTACTCTCACTTCATATTGAGAGATATCGTCATTGTCTTCCTCGTCCTCAAA